TTTAAAGGGTTAACTGAAGCTTGTGTGAACACACGAGCTGCTGATACAGAGAACGAACTCAAACTCACGTGTTTCGTTAAAGAGGAAGGAATCCTGATACTCCTTCATGTACTGAGAGGATCTGGCCTCATCCAGGAACAGAGAGTAAACTCTCTTAATGTCTTCTACCTGAACCTCTGTGCCCTGCAAAGCAAAAAACAAACAAATGGCACCAACAGAGTCAACGTGACAACACTCAAGAAACAATGATGTGACACACATGCAGCTGCTGCAGTCGTTCACATCGAGCTTACCTTGCGTTTACGACACACCAGTCCTGCGGTGCTGATCAGCTGGATCGCGTAGCGCAGTGACGTTTCCATGCCAATACGAGTGAGGACCGTGTGAGCCTCCTCGCTCAGCTCCACATCCTCCTCCTCACACCTGAAACGGAAACCTCAGCTTTACATTTCATCTGCGGCAGAAGGTGGAAGCGTCTGCTGAGCCGATTATGAATGCGCGTTTTTACCGGATCTTCAGGATCTGCTTCGTCTCTTTTTCGGTGTAAGGGGAGGTGGCGATGATGAGCAGCCGATCGAGGAGGTCGATGGGGATGCCGTGAGGGCTCTGATAGTTTGTTCCACGGATTCTGCAGGGAGATGAGTGAGTAGCACATTACTAATGAAACACCCAAATTATTCAGCATTACCTTTCCTGAAGCGGAAGGCTGACTAAAAGCAGTGTGGTTTGGAAAAACAGTACCGAGTGATGCCTCTGTTGGTGGCCATAATGAGAACTGGGGAGAGGTCACTCTCCAGGGCACGGTTCAAGAAGGAAAAGCACTCCATGTCCAGCATATGCACCTCATCAATAAATAACACCTACAACCAAGAGAGAAACGTTTAACAGAAACTCATGAAAAGCAAACAGAAGCATATAAAAACACTCACCCCTGGAATGATCTCCGCCTTTCCTTCTTCCCTCCACTCACACACTTTGGCATTAATCTGCTCGCGGACTTCAGACTTGATCTCTCCGGTGTCTCCAGAGAAAAGAGCCAGGAAGCCTTGTGTGCGACTGTTAATGACGTCGATCTCGTGCAGCGACACTGTGTGGACCACCTCTTTTCTCTTCTGCAGCTCTCCCTC